TTGGTCTTTCACATTAAATTCCAGTGAAATACATTTATGTTTGTGGTTGTAATGTGACAAAATATGGAAAAGTTCAAGGGGTATGAATACTTTTGCAAACCACTGTAACTGCTCTGCAGTTCTAGTTAAACTTGTGATTTTGAAGAAAGGAATAGAAATTGACCTTAAAAAACTATCTTTCATTATTCTGGCATTTAGCAAATAGAATAAATGTTGGTAATCCTAAATCAGAATCAGAATATTTTATTGATCCACACGGGGAAATTGCAATTATTGACCTAAATGACCTGAAACAGGAAAGGTTTGTTCTAATTTCACGTCAGTGTGAAAAACAATGTCTTTTTATATAGTGTGTGTAAACAAAGTGTAAATTTAACACAATCAGAGTTAAAATTAACACTCGTACAGAGTGTATATGGGAGCTAAGGTTGGGCATAATCGTATCGTGTGCGATTAATCGTCAGAAAAACATTAATCAATTATTTTTTTGGCACGTTTTGACGATTAATATGATTAATGCCACCAGTCAGACTGAGGGGAGGTTTCTCCAGTCAGTCCGCTTGGTGCTCCTTTCCGCTTCGAATATGACGAAAGTTAAAAAAAAAAGTTGTGTAATTTATTTATCTATCAACACAATTTAAAATTTGATGTATAGCCTGAAGTCTGTAATTTTGACACAATTTGGAACAGATTTTTATGAAGAATCTTTCCCACTAAATTGGTGATATGAATAAGACATAAGGGTGTCCAGGGACTCCAGGGGATTAATCATCAAATTAATTGTTATCGCCTAAATACCACAATTAATCGTGATTAATTTTTTTGGCAATATTGCCCAACCCTAAATTAACACTTATAAAAGTGTTTAAATTACTAACACCAATTAAGAGTTAAAACTATATATACGTAAAAAAACTCTATATAAGAGTTATAAAATTACACTAAGTTAGTGTTAAAACTACATTTGTGGTGTAAAACAGTAACACCAGAACAGTTTTGAAAGTACACTAGTTTAGTGTTAAAAATACATTCTTTTGATGTACAACATTAAAGGCACAGTTTGTAGGATTTTGTCAATTCTTTTAGCCGAAATTGAGATAATCACTAACGTCAATAATAAAAACATGTCTAATC